CTGGTCCTCATGGCGCTGCTGCCCATCTTCTTCGGGGCGCTGCGCTCCGTCAGCTGCGCCAAGAGCAAGGTACCCCCGCGGCTGCGGGGCCCGCGGGCCTCACCCGCACACACCCCGGGGCAGCCGCACCGCCCTCCGCTCCCGGTACAGCCCCCGTGTCCCCAGGGCCGGTCTGGCATCCCGCGGGCAGTTATCTGGCTTCCCAGGAGTCTCTTCCAGCTCAGCTCCTGCCTGTCCCGATAACTTCAAGCGCTGTCACGCTCCGGGCTGCCCCTCCTGCCCCCCAGGAGATTCTGTGGTGCTGGGGGACACTCGTGTGTCGCTTTGTTCCCCCATCCCGGGGCATTTTTAAAGCTCGTTGTCCACCCTTATCTCTTATTCCAGCTGGTTTCCGTGGCAACTGGGGGTATGTGTGTGGGGTTGTGGTTCTGGGGAGGGCGAAGTTTCCCTTGCTGCTTCTGTGCTGTGCAGCTGTCCCTGGGATGAGCCGTTGTTCCTTTGCAGGGTGGTTTTGCTGTAGGGTTTCCACTCTGGCCGCAGGTGTTTGCCTGAGGAAGGTTAGGTCTGGGAGCAGCTGGGCAGGCAGGGGGGCAGGCAGCCCCCTCTGCTTCCCTCCTGAAGGTCTGACCTGGGACATGGGGAGCTGGCTTTGGCAAAGGTGGCTCAGAAGGCAAAAGGGCTGTGTGGTTTTTTTTATCTACAAATCTGGAGCTTTAGAGCACAAGGGGAGGTCCCAAGGGTGAAGTGAGAGGGATGAAAAGGGGGTTGGAGAGAAATGTGGTCGGGAGGGTGAGTGACATATGGTGAGCACAGATGGGGAGGGCGTGAGCAGCAGAGGAGCCCAGCTCCCCTCTGGGCAGGGGCAGGAGGGAACAAGGACAAGCCTTGGGTTGGGTTTTTTCCCTTATCTAAGATGAAAAAAAAACCAACAAACAACAGTAAATTGTGGTGGATTTTCCTTTTCCACCTCGGGCTCTGCCTGTGCCTCAGCCCTACCCCTGGGAGCAATGGGAGGGCTGGAGGGTGCCTGCTCCTCTGGAAGCCACTGCAGAGCCCAGCTCATGGTGTCTGCCCCCCTCTCGGGGGGGTGTGAAGCCAGCACAGGGGCTGATCTCTCCTTCCCTCCCCAGAACTCCTCGGAGATGCCAGAGACCATCACCAGTCGGGCTGTGCTGTGCAGCTGTCCCTGGGATGAGCCGTTGTTCCTTTGCAGGGTGGTTTTGCTGTAGGGTTTCCACTCTGGCCGCAGGTGTTTGCCTGAGGAAGGTTAGGTCTGGGAGCAGCTGGGCAGGCAGGGGGGCAGGCAGCCCCCTCTGCTTCCCTCCTGAAGGTCTGACCTGGGACATGGGGAGCTGGCTTTGGCAAAGGTGGCTCAGAAGGCAAAAGGGCTGTGTGGTTTTTTTTATCTACAAATCTGGAGCTTTAGAGCACAAGGGGAGGTCCCAAGGGTGAAGTGAGAGGGATGAAAAGGGGGTTGGAGAGAAATGTGGTCGGGAGGGTGAGTGACATATGGTGAGCACAGATGGGGAGGGCGTGAGCAGCAGAGGAGCCCAGCTCCCCTCTGGGCAGGGGCAGGAGGGAACAAGGACAAGCCTTGGGTTGGGTTTTTTCCCTTATCTAAGATGAAAAAAAAACCAACAAACAACAGTAAATTGTGGTGGATTTTCCTTTTCCACCTCGGGCTCTGCCTGTGCCTCAGCCCTACCCCTGGGAGCAATGGGAGGGCTGGAGGGTGCCTGCTCCTCTGGAAGCCACTGCAGAGCCCAGCTCATGGTGTCTGCCCCCCTCTCGGGGGGGTGTGAAGCCAGCACAGGGGCTGATCTCTCCTTCCCTCCCCAGAACTCCTCGGAGATGCCAGAGACCATCACCAGTCGGGATGCTGCTCGTTTTCCCATAGTTGCCAGTTGCACCCTCCTGGGGCTCTACCTCTTCTTTAAAGTAAGTGAGCAGAGCCAGACCCAGCCACCCTCCTACCTGGGATGGGGCTCTGAGATGGGCCTGACTTGATTTTTGGCTTCTCCTCATTGGGGGCCCTCAGTGTTGGGATGGAACCTGCGTGAGGCTGCGCAGGTCGAGCTCTTCAGTGCCACCAGGCAGGAGGACGTCAGTTCTCACCTGAATTGTCACAGCCTGGGGGGACATCAGGGCCTGTTTGTGCAGGAGGTGGCTCTGGGGAGCTGCCAGGGGGTGAGCTCACCCCGAGCTCTGCCCATCTCCCTGAGCCAAGTTGGGTCTGAGAGCAGAGGGTGCCCAGGACTGCTGAGTTCCCAGCGCTGCTGTCCTGGTGCTGTGCCCTGTGCTGTGTCTGGAAGCCCATTTGGCTGCAGGCTTGGGGTTGGCTAGCCTGTGGGCAAGTCCCTCTGTGTTCAGGTGAGATCTTTTAGACATGCAGAGCCAACAGCTGGGGTTGTGTGACCATTCCTGAGCCACAGGTCCCAGCAGCAGTGTGTGGAGCTGACTGGGATAGGGACACTAGTGAAAGATGTGCAGATGTGGCCCCCACTGAAGTCACTGTGATCAGTGACTTTTTAACCCCGGCCCCAGCTCTAGTATTCCAGCATCCCCCTCCAGGAAAGCACAGAGGCCCCTGGGCTGAGGGGGTGGGATTTGGTGATGAGGCAACGTGTGCATCAGAGGGCAGGAGTTCTATTAATACCCTGTTAATTAGAGCAGGACACGCTGGGGGTGTTGTAGCAGCAAGAGGGGGGAGGTGCTGCTGCTCCCCTCAGCCAGGGCAGCCCCTGGAGCTTTGCTTCCTGCTCCTGCTGATTCCATGTGGGAAACTCTGTTCTCTTTTCCACATCCCACAAGTTATTTTTTTGACTTGAGCAGTCCAAAGATGTGCCACAACTTGCAGCCCCCGCTGCTTGTTCTGCAGGCAGCTGTTCCCCACGTATTTCACATCAGCAGTGCAAGAATTTGGGTTATTCCAGCTGTTCCTCTCCTCTCCCTGGAGCTCTGACACAGCAGCTGCTGATGGCAGCAGGAAGTGCTGTAGATGGGGAGGACCCTGCAGTAACTGTCCTCCCCCCTCTGGCTTTGTCTTGCAGATCTTCTCTCAAGAGTACATCAATCTTCTGCTCTCCATGTATTTCTTTGTCCTGGGGATCCTGGCCCTGTCCCACACCATCAGGTACAGGGAAGGAAGGGTTTGTGGGGGGTGTCCCAGGCTGCCCACCTGCAAGGCACCAGAGTGCCCCGTTTCTGGGGGAGGGTTTCTAGAGCACTGTTGTCTTGCAGCAGAGCCAGATCTCAGTTCTGAGGGTTTGTCCCTTAGTGGTGTGAAGGCCTCAGAGCAGTGTACCCTTCCTTATTAGGTAACCAGAGTCTTGGAGAGACCCAAGACCCTGTACAACACCACCAGGAGAGCTCGTGGAGGTGTGGGTGGCCACCATTATGGGACAAGTCCAGCTCACCCTGCAGAGCTCTTGTGGCTTGGCACAGTCCTTGCTGCCCTGGGGAGGGGAAAGCTCCTCAGCACCCCTGTTCCCCTGACTGGAATGGCTGAAATGGGCAGCTGGAGCTCACAGTGACATCCCTGGCCTCTCGTGCTGAACACTCAGGCTGTTCAGTAACTGAAAAAGTAGAACTGGTTTCCTGTTTCCTGAGCTCTGGGGTGCTGGGGAGCAGATGCTTTCCCTGGACCGGCTGGGCAAGTGTTTTGTCTCCACACCCAGCTCTGCAGAAGAGCTGCTGGCTGGTGGCCCAGCCAGTGCTGAGTCCTCAGGGGGCTGCTGGGGCCTGGGGTGAGTCCTCCCTTCTTGCAGGTGATGCTCTGTTGCCCTTCAGCATTTTGGGAGACTGTCACATGTGGGCAGGTCAGACCCTGGAGAGGACAAGGGCCAGCCTCTGTGTTATGGTGACTGACACCAGGGCTCCTGCCAATCCCTGCTGTGGTGAATCCTGGTGCTTCCCAGTCTCAGGAGGGCTGTGGGATGATACTTGTGCTGCAGGGACACTGGGCAGTGTGTCCTGCAGGGTTCTGTCCAGCTGCCCTTCTCTGCACCTCTCGTTTCAGCCCCATGATGAACAGATTCTTCCCTGCAAATTTCCCCAACAAGCAGTATCAGCTCCTCTTCACCCAGGGCTCTGGGGAGAGCAAGGAGGGTAGGTTGGCTGGCCACCCTCCCTGGGGGCCAGGTTGTTTTCTGCCTTTACTGGTGTGTTTTTTTCTCACTTGGTGCTCTGACTTGCATCCCATTGGAACAACCTTCTCAAAGACCCCCCTCCTGCTCCTGCTGCCCCGGCCAGCCCCGGCTGCCCCTGCAGCTCTGGGCTGACCTGTGCATCTTGCTGCCTCTGGCTGGCAGCAGAGCCCCAGAGGCAGATCCCAGAGTGCTGCAGAAACGGAGCTCCAGCTGCTGTTACTTTAAGCTCCTTGGGCAGGGCAGCACTGGCTGTTTTGTGCTGCCTTAACTGATCTGATTCAAATCCTTGCGCTGGTAGAAGATGCTTTGAGAAGTTTCCCGCCCAGTAGCTTTACTGGGGAAGGGGTTATGATAACCACCATGAGTTAACTGGTGCAGGAAGAGGGAGAAGGTTTGCCTCTCCCTGCCTGAATCCAATTTCCTCCTTGACAGAAGGGTGGCAGATGCTGTCCATGTGGCAGGCTCTGCCTTGCCAGGGCCAGCTGCTCGCTCGCCTGCCGCTGGCACGTTTCCCCTGGGCACAGCCACTTCTGTGGGTACAGTCCCCTCCTTTGGGGTGGCAGTGCTGTGGGCTGGGTGGCCTCCCAGCTGTGAAGCCGCCCTATGTGGGACAGGGACCTGTCTGGGCTGCCTAAAATCCAGCTCCTTTTCTTGTATGCAGAAATAGTGAATTACGAGTTTGACACCAAGGATCTTGTCTGCCTGGCCCTGAGCAGTGTTGTGGGGGTTTGGTACCTGCTGAGAAAGGTAAGTGGAGCCACATACCTGCTGTGGGGAGGCCAGGGACCAGGCTGGGTCAGCCCTGGGAAAGCCTTCATGGGCCAAGGTGGTGGCTTGGGACATTCTGTGGGATCCAACTCTCCCTCTCCTGTCCTTCCCAGCACTGGATTGCCAACAACCTCTTCGGGCTGGCGTTCTCCCTCAACGGAGTGGAGCTGCTGCACTTGAACAACGTCAGCACTGGCTGCATCTTGCTCGGAGGCCTCTTCATCTACGACGTGTTCTGGGTAACAGGGACACTCCCAGGGCAGACTCGAGGGGCTGGCACTGCTCTGCAGGCACCCGCTGCTGGGACACATGGTCCCAGTCAGGCTTCCTGCTTTCTCAGCCCAAAGGGGTGTGGTGGGGGTGATGATGGAATCCAACAGTGGCAGAACATGGCTCAGCAAATGTGTTTGCTTTTAATCCCTGGCTTAGCACAGGGCTGGTAGGATCTCACCAGGGCTGCTGTGGGGTGCCTAGGTGTGCAGCAGATCCAGTTCTGGTGACCTGTGTTCCCCACTGAGGTCTGACAGAGATGCTGGGTAGACATACCTGCTCTGGGATATGCTGATCCTGCACTTGTGGGTTATGTCCCAGCTCTGTCATCTGCCAGCTTCATTAGTGCTCATCCATCCCCTCGGAGCACTGGAATGCCTCCAGTCTCTCCCTCAGCCCATGCAGCACCCTGACATCTTCATTTTGGGGTTTCCTTATCTGCCATGGGTTTGGATGCACCTTTCTTGTAATGTCCATATTCCCCAGCCCTTCCTGCTGCCTCCACCTTTGCAAGTACTGCATTTCCAGATGTCTGACAGCCTTGTGTACCTTGAGGTCTGTCCAGCAGCTCTGCAGCTGCCTGAGTAATCCTTTCCCTGTTGAAGCCAGGCTACTGTGTGCTGGTTTGTACTTGGCCAGCACTGCCCCTGTTTCATAGGCTCATTAACAGCCTCAGCTCTGTGGTTCATTAGCCACTGTGCCACTTCTGCTGCTCTTTGCTGGAGAGAATTCAGCCTTCTGGCTGAGCCCCACACCCTCCTTTGGGTGTGAATCTCTTCCCAGTGCTTTGGAGACATGGAGAGTGCAGCCCTTGCTGCTCTGCACCCTCTCCAGCTGTCTGCCACCTCAGCACATCTATGAATTGCTGGAGCCTTGTGGAAGAGCCATCCTCAAGTGAGGACCCTCTTACTGTGTCCCACTGCAGGGACTGGTTGCTTGGGTCTCAGCACAGATTTAGTCATAGTGACACCCCACCTTCCCCCCATGCAGCTCTGGTCACCCCCCACACCTCTGCTTCCCCTAGGTCTTTGGCACCAATGTGATGGTGACAGTTGCCAAATCCTTTGAAGCCCCGATAAAACGTGAGTAGATCTGCCCTGTGTCCGTTTGGCTGTGCAGCCTCTGCCTCCTGGGGGTGGCTGGGAAGGTGGGATGTGTTGCAGGAAGGGCTGGTTACTGCTGATGAGCCCTTTGACTGCTGCCTGGTGGCAGTGAGGTGCAGAGAGCCTCTGGGGAGGGGTGGTTTGTAGGGCCCTGAGCTGCCTGGGTCAGTCTGGCCACCAGAGCAGGCAATTCCACCTGCTCAGAAAAAAATAATAATGTGCAAAACTCACCACATTTTCCCCAAAACAGTAAGAGGGGTGAATTTGTGCTGTTATGGAGCATGCAGTAGTTGAGGTCCTGGGAACTGGGGCCGAAACCTGTGCATGGGGCTGGCCCCAAACCTCTCTGTTTCCTATCCCAGAGCTGTCCCAGGAAGAAGAATATGGGGAACTGCAGGGGAGCAGAGGGCTGAGGGGAGGGGTCTTGCCTTGCTCTGGTGCCTTTTCACCATGCATAGCAGGTCTGGAGTCTACTTATCACAGATTCCCACCCCTTACTTCCCCTGTTCCCTGCTTCTTGTAGTGGTTTTCCCTCAGGACCTGCTGGAGAAGGGGCTGGAGGCTGACAACTTTGCCATGCTTGGTCTGGGAGACATTGTCATTCCAGGTAAGGACAGAAAAGATGAGGAATGTGACTGGGATCGCCTGTTGGAACGGCCGTGCCAAGGCTGGGGGCTGCATGGGCTGGGGGTCTCCCGGCAGCTCCGGGTGCTGTCCCGGTGCCTTGTGCCACGAGAGGGCACTGTCAGCCCAGGCACGGCCCGCAACCTGCCCTGCCACTGCCTTCCCTCCTTCCCTCATTGTCCCTTTCTCCCCGCAGGGATCTTCATCGCCTTGCTGCTGCGGTTTGACATCAGGTGAGGGGGCTCTGGCAGGTTGGATCTTGCAGGGTATTTGAGCTGCTTTTGTAGAGGAGAAAGGGGGAGGGGAAGGCAGGAGCACAGTCGTGTGCTCCCCTCTGGGGTTTGGTCTGGGGATCCACAAGAGTGGCTGGGACTGGGAGGGGTGCAAGGGGAAGCTCTTGGGGGGCAGACAGGAGCAGGGCTGGCTTTGTGGGCAAGTCCTGAGCCCTGTGGGCAAGTTGTTTGAGCTGGTGGGCAGGGCAGGCAGCACAGAGCAGCCTCCAGAGCCTCACTCAGCCCGGGCAGCGAGGGGAATGGCGTGGGAAAGAGCCGGGGGTGCTGGCGACAGGGAAGTGCTCGCGTGGATGCAAATGAGTGCCTGGCAGTGCTGGCTGGGTTGGCACGGGGGAAGCTGCACCTGCCAGCGGGGTGGAGTGCTGGGCAGTTGCCCCACACTGACAGCCTGGCTGCTGGGAATGGGCCCCCCATGTGCCCGCCCCCTCCTGCTGCTGCTCCACAGGCCCTCGGGTCTGTGCCAGCTCTTCCAGGTGTTTACGCCCACACCCAGCCTGCACCTGCTGGGAATCCCAGTCCCTGCAGCCTGCCCTGTGATAACACAGCGTGTGCTGAAAGTGGGGTGCCAGGGACTGGTCATGCCTCCTCCCCTCAGGAGGTGGGACTTTCCCCCTGGGTCCCAGCACCGAGTCTTCCATCTCTCCCCCCTCATCCAGCAGCAGGATCCTGCTTCCCCTTCTCCAGCCCCTCACCTGGGTGTCATTCCACCCAGTCCCACACTGCTCCCACAGAACCAGGAGCTGTTCCCTCAGGCAGAGGGCAGCTCCCAGGCTGAGAACACTGGACTGGCTGCAATTTGGCCACTGTCATCCCAGCCCCCGGGTCACTGGGCTCTCGCTCCCTCTCCCTGCAGCTTGAAGAAGAACACGCACACGTATTTCTACACCAGCTTTGTGGCCTACATCTTCGGGCTGGGCCTGACCATATTCATCATGCACATCTTCAAGCACGCCCAGGTGAGCTCAGCTGTGCTGCTTCGTGCAGGTGCACGTCCCCAGTGGGGCTCACGTCAGCTTGGCCAGGAGCTTCCTGCATCATGCCAGGAAATAGTCCATGTGTTCCTTCTCTTGGCTTTGCTTTTACTGGTGCCTGCCTGTACCTTTTCTGGCCCAACACTTGTGGGCCTGGCTGGAGCTGAGTCCCCTTTGGGGCAAGGCTGGCTCAGGCAGCTGCCTTCCCAAGAACAAGTTCTTGGGAGCCAAGCTGCCCCTGAAGACCCACCCTATGTGCAGAGGGGCCCTGGGAGCCCACAGTCCATGAGTCCTATCACTGGTCTGCACAGGGATGTTGGTGGCCTCATGGCAAGGGTTTTGTGCTGCAGCTGTAACTTGGCCTTCAAAGTCACTTTCTGGAGCATTCACCCCCTGTGCAGCACTGTGACAGACACTGTGGGTGCAGTGGGGACAGGGCCAGCTCACCTTGTGCTCCCCCTGAGGGGTGATCTGTGGTTTGGCTCAGCAGTTGTTTTTTTCCCTTGCAGCCTGCTCTTCTGTACCTGGTCCCTGCCTGCATTGGGTTCCCGCTCCTTGTGGCCTTGGCAAAGGGAGAAGTAACTGAAATGTTCAGGTGAGCCCCAGCTGGGGATGGAGCTGTTTAGCCCGTGGCGCTGGAGCGCATGAAGCGTGCAGATGTTCCCACGCCTGGGCACAGCTGGAGGGACGGGTTCATCCGGGCACGCTCCGGGTGTGCACGGGCACGTGTGGGTGGAGGGAGCCAGGGCTGTGTTCGTACACGTTGGGCCTGGCTCCAGCCACTTCCTCCTGAGCTGGGTGGGAGCTTTGTCCCGTACTAACACGCAGGCAGCATCTGGTATCGCTTTACGCCCCAGTGACAAACCCTTCCCGTGTGCTGGCGGGCAGGGGAGGGTGGGACCGCACACCTGGGGCTGAGATACTTGGTCATTGTGTCCCAGGGCCTGTGGGTGGGGGAGAATGGAGCCTGATGGGGCTGTGAGAGCAGCCAGGGCTGGTTCGAGCACATCCCAGCCTCCTTGCTCAGTAAAGGATCCTGGTTTGCAGCTGTCTCCCTGCCCTGGGGACAGTAGGAGTGGAGAAAGGGGTCTGTGCTGGGTCCCCTTTCTGCCTGCCAGGCTTCAGGCATTTGGCAGCTTTGGTCCTGCCATCCCCTCTGGCCATGAGGAGCACAGCCCAGCCTGTCCAGGAGCTGGTTCTGTGCTGTGCTCAGTTCATTGTGCTCTCGAGGGCCCAGTGCAGTTGCTGGTTTGAGGCAGAAGAGGAAAGGGAACATCTGTCCCAAATCAGGGCTGTGCACACCCCCAGCTTCCCCACCCTGGGGGTGCCCCTACCCAAGCCCCCAGCCCATTCAGAGGGAAACCAGCAGGTGACTGGGGTGCAGTAGGGAGGGGACTGCCCTTCCTCCTTCCCCTCCCCTGGGAGACTCGGGTCTGGGTGTTCCCAGAGGGCTGGCAGCTGGGCCAGCTCCCGGCCCTGCCGCACCTGCCCCTCCGTCCTTTGATGTTGCAGGCTCTGCGTGTCCTGGGATCAGCCTTCCTGTGCACCTGGGGCGCTGCAGCCGCGCTCCTCTGTCGTGATTCACCATCTCCTGGCCAGGAAACTAGTGAGAGTCAGTCCAGCCCGCCGGGCTGGAAGGTGCCTCAGGGAGCCAGGCAGGGGGGCTAAAGCCCCTGTTCCCACCCTCACCCAGCATTAGTACAAGGTGTTCAGCAGTAAAGTCCTGCCTGCTGTTGTTTGTTGAGCGCTACCAGGGCAGGTCTGTGCTGCAGGCCTGGGGAGGGGGCACTGGTGGAGCAGAGATGGGTGATGTCAGGGTCAGTTTTGTGGTTCCCAGCCTTGCCAAGCCTCCCTAGGCAGGGAGAGACCTTTGCTCTGCCTCTGTCTGCTGTCAGGAAAGGGTGTGCTGTGTCCTGCTGCCTGCACAGCCCCTGAGCTTCCCAGTGCCCAGGCTTGCTCTCACCTGTGGGCTCCCAGCTTCCTGGATCTACCCATGCCAGTGGGAGCTGCCTTCTCCCTTGGTCTCAGCCCATGCTGCAGCCCTGCCCTGCCGTCTGCAGGGAAAAGGAGTGTGGGCTGGAGCCTGCCAGAACAGCCCCGGGGTCATCCCAGCCCGGGGCAGCAGGTGCCAGCAGCCAGAGGGGATAGCAGGCTGCCTGCACAGGGTGCTGGGTGTGCAGCACCCTCACTCCAAAACTCTTCTGCTTTTCCTCTTTTCCTCCCTCTCCTTTCCATCTTCATCTTCCCTGCGTTCTCTCCTGCTTCCTCTCTCTCCTGCAGCTATGAATCCTCTGCTGAAATCTTGCCACACACACCAAGACTTACCCACTTCCCCACCGTGTCGGGCTCTCCAGCCAGCCTTGCTGATTCCATGCAGCAGAAACTCTCCTGCCCCCGCCGACGCCGGCAGCAAAGCCCCAGTGCCATGTAGCAGCGCACGCGGTGCCCTCTCTCTGTCTGTCGCTCTGGCCAGGTAGGGGCTGGTCCTGGCTCCCAAATTCCCCTGGGCAGAGCCAGGAGCTGTTGTCCTGCTGCTACAGGCCAGCTTCTCCCCACTTCTGAGGGCAGAGTGTGAAAGGGAAGAGGATTTGACTTCTCTGCCCTTGTGCTTCCTGCTGGAGGGCAGCACTTGCCCCTTTCTTCTGCCAGAGCTGTGTGGATGCTGTTAGGGGGGGTTTAGAGCCAGAGGAGCAAGTTCTTTTGGGGGTGTCACTGTTGTTGGTCTTCTGACTCCCCCTGCTAACCAGCCCCTTGCTTGGCAGTGTAGGGCTGTCCAGGATATCTGATGGTGCTCTTGGGAGTGAGAACAGCCCCCCCAGCGCCATGGCTTGGCCAGGGGAAGGCCCAGCCCCTGGTTGGGTAGTTTCTGGGGGGATGTCACAGTGCTCATCTCCCCACCTGGTCTCTATTGGTCTCATTGGGTTTCCTACACTGAGGGGTGATGGCTGCCCCTCAGCACAGCGACTGCAGCTGGACAGACCCCCAGGCTGGGCCGTCCCTGCTTGGCACAGGTCTCTGTCCCCAGAGAAGGTCTTATCTGCACTCACTTCTCCCTCTCATCCCTCTGGTTCCCAGCTATGAGGAGAGCTCTACCCCCAAGGAGGTGCCAGGGGCCTCCAAAGAAGAGCCAACAGAAGCTGCCAAGAAGGAGAAGTGACCTTGCCCGTGGGCTGTGCCTGGTGCCACCGGGCTGGGCCCCTCCCAGACCCTCCGCAAGTGACAGACGACAAAACAATTGTGCAAGAGCATCGTGTTGTGTGTGTCGGAGCAGCCGCAGGTGGGGATCGATGTACGCCGCATAGCCACCCCCCTGCCCCCCGCCTGCTCAGCTCCCACGGGGGCACCAGGCGGGTGGGGGACAAACCACAGGCCGGTTTTTAAATTTTGTATCGTGCGTTTGCTTTCTCTCATATTAAATCATGTCGAAGGAAGGCAGTGCTGGTCTGGCCGGGGCCGCGCTGGCAGCTGCCTGCCCAGCAGTGGGATCAGTGTCCCTGCTCTCCAGCAACCTTGTTCTCCCTGTGGGGCCCATGGCCGTTGTCTGGCTGTTTCCAAGTGATTGTCCCCTTCCCCCTCCTGCTGCTCTGGTGCTTGGCCATCCCCCCAGCCCTGCTACATTTAGAGCCACACGGGGTGGGTTTCAGCAAGGGTCTGGCCCTGGAGTGAGGTGGGTGAGCTGGGATTGGGGTGCAGGAACCTGCTGGGAGGGGGACACATACCCTGCCTTGGCTGTGTGGGGAGCTGAGCTGAGCCCCCATAGCCTGCGGGGGTGGATGGGGGTGGGAGAGAGCTGGGGATGAAGTGGGGTGAAGGCAGCACAGGCTGTCCCCTCTCCTTGCAGGGAGCCAGGCACCATCCTGCATCCCCTGGGGCCAGGGCAGGCAGGGGGCTGGAGTGGCTGCAGGCAGGGGCAAATCCAGCAACCACCTGGGCTCCCACCAGAGCTGGCTGCCATGTGTCCCGCAGCACCAGGAGTGCCCTCCCTGGGGTACAGGCGTGCAGAGGATCCTACATGCCTCTGGCTGTGCCCACTGCCAGAATAAACAGAAGTGTTTGCTGGCTGGGCAGCCCCTCCACAAAAGCCGCATTGAACCATTATTCCCCACGTCGTCTGTGAGCACTAAAAGTGGCGCCTCGCGTTCTGCCATCTAATGAATGACCCTTCCCAGTCTCCTACAGATGTTTTCTATGACTTACAGCTCCTTTTTCCTACAGCCCTGTCCACAAAAACAAGAGGGGCCACTTTAATTCCAATTAAATACCTCCAGCTAAGCAAACAGTGTGCAGCAGGGCCCGGGCACAGCGCGGCGGCCAGGCCCGGCCCACCGAGTCGCTGAGTCTAGACTCGAGATGTGATTTCATCGGCCTCCAGTGTCCCGTGGACACGGTGCTGGCCCTGCCTTGGGTGCAGCACCCTGCTCTCAGCTGGGGCCCTGCTTACTGCCGGGTCTGGTGCTGCACCCTGTGCAGCTCTGTGTCCCCTGGCTGTGGGTGCTGGGAGCCTGATGCCTCTGGAACAGGCGGGGGGTCACACGTGCTGCCCCCAGCCCCACCTCCTCTTCCCTCCCTGGTGCTAGTTGTGCGTGCAGTGGGAGTGCAGCTCCAGACCCAGAGCTTTCCCAGGGCTACGGGGAACGGAAGGCCTGGGGAGGGGACAGTGGGGTCACCCTGTGCCCTGCCAAGGAGCCAGGGTGGGCAGCAGGAAGGAAGCGGGCTGGGCCCTGCGTGGAGCTGCCTGCGGAGCCGGCGCCTCGGTGGCCCCGGGCTCCCTGTCCTGCTGCACCTGGGCCGGGAGGCTCCGCGCTGTCTGGGCTGCTGCTGGGCCACCTTCCCCTCGCTGCGGGGTCCTGCCGGCCCGGGGGGGCTGCGGAAACATGAATGCTCTGGCAGGAAACCATCCACCGAGCTGGGCATGGCTGGAGTTGGAGCCAGCCTGCTTGGCTTGTGGGGCTTAGGGTGATGCCCCTGTACCCATGGGTGCCCTCCTGTAGCAGGGCAGAATAGGCTGTGGTGGTTGGTGCACAGGAGACACCCCTGGGTGCAATTACAGTGGGAGTACGGTTTTCTGGGTGGGGAGTGCTGATGTCTAGGGCAGGGGGGTGGACACTGGGGCTGCTCATCCCCAGAGACCTGCAGAGCCCCCCAGTCATGGCCAGAAGAGTGGTGGATGGGTGCTGGGTGTTGGTGGGCACCTCATGCCCTGCATGAGGATTCAGGGCTGGGGATGCCTGGCCGTGGTGGGGATTCCAGTGGTGAGAACTGGGGTCCTGTGGGGTGCTGGGTGCTGGCGGTAGAGAGGAAGCAGCCAAGAGCAGCCCTGGCCGGGCTGTGGGGAG